TATACTTATGTATTGTATATATATTATTTTTCTGTATAATTTAATTTTTTACTGTACATAGAGTGTGAATGTGATCTCAGAACACTATTATAAATGTTCTTTGATACAGATTGTAATATTTTCATTAAACAAGTTTAAAAAAAAAAAAAAAATAGTCGTCCAATCCATAATCAACGGATCACACAATCCATAATAAACCGGTGATATAATCCGATAATATATATATATATATAAGTATAACGATAATTAATTTGAAAAAAGAGAAAGAAATGAATTACCTATATGAAATGGTGTTTAAGTGGTTCCTATTAAATGTAATTACACGAACAAGAATACTTTAATAGATAGTTTTTAATATGTTTTCTGTAAAATATGGTTACATTTTATCATTTTTTGGGGGTAGGGGGCTTCAGCCCGAAAGCCCCCTCCTCCCGTAGATCCGCCTGTGCTACAGGATTTTTTCTATTATTAGGACTGATAAAGTACTCAGGAGAACTTCTACTTATTTTCAAACGGAATGTATTTGTTGACTGTTCTAATTTAGGAGGCATGCAGCAATCAGAAGAAATAAATAAAATATATTCTATGTACTCCTACGTAGCCAAAATGAAATGAAAGACGAGTTTAAATAAGTTATTTCTATTATTCCTCTCGTGAAGTTTATTTAAGTAAATATCAAAAATAACCTTGATTGCTCGTATTAATAATGATGATAATAATAAAGTTACTGATAACTTGTCTATTGTATACACTCAGTAATATATAAATCGCATGTATCCACACTGCGCTGATATCCTAGTTTATCTATAACACTAGTGAAATTTATTTATATAAATTTCTTGAAAATTTATATAGTGAAGGAAATGTTATTAATGATCACGTATGCCAATTTTCACAAACAGCTAGCGCTTTTAACCATTTAAATTTAATGCAGTATTAACAGACCATGTACACTGTACCACAACTGTCGTCTGACTCCCGTCTGGTAGGGATAGATTACGGAGTATTTTCCATTTGGATTTGGAGTCGGGATCATTGGAATGGGCGTTATGGAAGTAGGTGGCTTTAGCTGGTTGGATTGCGGATTGAGTACTATTGCGAGGTTCTTTGAAAGACGCATAATCAATAGGCAGACGGGTTCGGCGATATTTGTGCCTTGCTGCGTCCCTTCTTTTTATCATTTCCTTTATTTCAGGAGTCAGCCACGGAGCAGTCGGACGGCTTATGGTTCTAGTTTCCAGTAGCATGGGTGTTTAATATGGATTTTAGGTTTGAGGTAAGAGTAGAAACCATAGGTTCAATGGAGTTATAAGAATATATGATATCCAATTGGACGGAGTCGATGTCAGGTTGAAGGGATTCATAGGAGAGGAGGTTTAAATTGCGGTATGAAACCATTTGGGTAGTAAAGGATTTCACGAGTAAGTCGTATGTAATTTGGATTAGGTCATGTGATGAAAGAAATGTAATGGCATGTTGAGAAGGGTAAAAGATTTTGACGGGAGTGTCAGAGATGTAGAAGTCTAACCAACTGTCGGAAAATTGAATTTAATGAGTGAATACTGCTTCAGTTTTGAAAAATATTCGATAGGAATCAAACAAAGGTCAGCATAGAAAATTGATGGAATTTTTATATTAGTAAGGCGAATCAAATATTTACAGGAAAGACTACAGGTCTGTTCTGTACTAATGTCTAGCGGTGCTCAGTCATTGTGTTGTGGTTTTTCCACCAAGGAGAAGCAGTAGCCTGCCTAGAAGACAGATATTTTATACCCGGTAATATAAGCCCACTTTGTTCATTTGTTCTTCCCCCACTATTACCAGAAACAGTACTTGTAACTAGAATGTACAAAAAAATGCAAGCAAGTGGCCACTGTTACTTAGTAAAACAAACTATATCATTATCAGTGTAACATAAATTAAATTATTCATGCTTTCTTAATATTCATTTGCATAGGCTTTCTATTAAGGGTGACTGGTCTGGAAAGCGGGATTTGTAAGTTTCAGCCAACTTCATTATACAAACATCCCAGTATCGAGCACCTCTCAATCAGAGAGGTCCCACTGCGAACCTCAAAGCATCACTCAATTTCCTTTTCACTCTATTCACCCTGTCTCGTTCTCTTTTTAGGCTATATGATGCTCATTCCATTATTACATTAGACCATTTATTTTCTTTACACCGTAGGAAATATACAGCCCGTTCACATGTAGTGTTCTTTATCTGCATGAGTTGGCCATTGGGACATGTTTCTTTTTTGAGCTTCTTTCTTTTACCCTTCCCTTTTTCTCTATATTTATGATGTTTTTTTCGATACCATTCTGCCATATCTGGATCTATCTCTCTTGATATTTAATTAATAACCAGCCTTGATACCCATAGGTCTCCACTAGAAGGATGCAACAATCAAAGACTTGCATTTTTAGGTGAATATTTTTGTCTCCCTTTATGATGTACTTAAGCTACCAAAATCTGTTCCAACCGACTGTTATTCTCCTCTACACGTTTTATATCCTTTTTTATGGCTATTGTTTCTCGATTTACTGGTGTAAAACAATTTTGACATCAATCTCTTTACTCCGACGTCTAGATGATAGAGGATGACCGTAAACGTGAGAATATCCAAAAATTATCCATGGTAGACTAAGTCCCAAAATGCGAGATTAACTCCGATACTGAAAATAACTCAATATATCTCTATGATTTACTCTCTTGTAAATAATTGGGGTGTTAAATAAAAATGAATCCTCACCGATACGACAGAAAGTCCCTCCCTAGACTTTCCAAGCGATATTCTTTGGTATTCCCAATCGCATTACGGCATTAAAAAACAAGTACGCTATGCGAGAACGAAAGACAAGTGACTCTTCAAAATCACCTGTTACATAAATAACTGTAATTATGGGTTGCCATGTTGCAGTATTCATAAATTCCAAAAGTTTTTATTATAATAAACTTATCCCAACTGTCTCAATTTATTTAATAAGGCATATTGATAACAAAAATTTATTCAAAATTTTAAGTTTTTAAAATTTGAATTTGAGTTATGTATAAATAGTTTTACTATTATATTATATAGGAAAATACTAATAAGGGTAGATTATTGTGGTGTGAAGGGCCGATATACTTGCTACTTACAATCAGGGGGTCGCATGGGCAGGACGATCGAGGCGGTTGCCTCGGGAAACCGATGCTATACTTGAATTGGAGACAAATATTAAAGCCAATTAACAGAGAACCAACTTAAATAAGAGTCGACTAAAAAAGTATTTAGTCAGAAAGTTTTTTAGAAAAAATGTATCAACAAATTAATAACTCCTATTAAGCTACTAAAGGTTAATAATAACGCGGTTTTTTATCATAGTCTGATACAGATGATAATGTATGCAAACCTTAATATTGATTTTGTTTATAGTTCAAGACACGAGCGGATCCAGGATTTAATTTTGGGGGGCTTCAGCCCGAAAGATTTTTTTTCATATATATAACGATAATTAAATTGAAAAACAAAGAAGAAATAAATGAACTACCTATATGAAATGGTGTTTAAGTGATTCTTGAAGTCCTATTAAATGTAATTACACGAACAATAATACTTTAAGAGATTGTTTTTAATATTTTTTTTCTATAAAACATTGTTATATTTTACCGTTTGGGGGGGGAGGACTTCAGCCCGAAAGCGCCCTCCCCCCCGTAAATTCGCCTGTGGTTCAAGAAGAACATAAAGTGTTGGCTGTTAAGTGTATTTCTGTAAAAAGTATTAATCTCGTCTATCCGGCGTTGAAGAACAGATAGATACAGTTGATATCTTCTCCCCTTTGGATGATTGTATTAAGGCTGATCTTGCCGTGTTGAATCTGAATGGTGGCCAATAGATGGGAGTATGTTGATAGTGATTGGTGGTATTGGTATCAAATTTTAAAAAATACATCATATTTTTTTTAAATCATTGTAATACCAGTTTTTAATGATTAACGTAATGTTTATTTATTCATTTCTATAAATGACCATCAAGATTTGTTATTAAATAATATTCTGGTCAGTAAATAATTTGAAAGAAATATGTGTACAATTTATAATACAGATTTCTTCAAATGACCACATGATCTAAATTCGACAATGTGTACTTCTGAAAAACATTTCTATTTTCTAGATTTTCTCTTTATCCGAGTTTTTTAAAAAATTTTGCCTCTTCCTCCGTTACTGATTCATGTTCTCTTTTATATTTTTTGCATTTAAACAATACGTATCTTGTGTCTTGTGGCTCCTTACAAACTTCACAGTTTCCCCCTTTTCTAATTTCATTATCGGATTGACACAATAGATAGTTGGTTTGATATTTGAAATTTACTTCTACTCCATCATTCATCTTTCTTTCTCTATTTAAACATAGAATGAGAGATTGTTAACCTATTTGGTTAGTAGTGTGGGAGGGGGACGCCCTGTAAAACCTCGCCCAATTGGTAACAACTTGCCCAACTGAAACCCCTTTCTGGGAACTCCTTCTAAAATATAACTATCTTTCCTAAAATTAAAAGAAATAAACAAAATAATATAAATGCCTACTTAATTTTTAATTCATCCCATTGTCAGAAGGATTGACTGCTCTATTTCTACGTCGCGGATAAAGTCTCCCCATCGTGCTTTTCTGAGTGAAAATTTTTGAAGACTTTGACCTTTGCCTGTTAGGGACAATACACATAAATATTAACTATTTATAATTTTATTTATTTTCAATAACTTTAACTTGTTCAAATGAAAAGAACCAGGTTTTAATAACGCTTTAAATAGAAGTATTTTATTAAAATGACAAAAAAAAAAAATTCAAAAAATGTTTAAACATATTAATAATAACAATAAAAAATATAAATACATTTTATTGAACTAGATCAATTATTAGAACTAATTTATATTTTCGGTGATATAAATGGGTTAAAATAAACTTATGTTGGTTACTCTGACAATTAAATACAACAATAATGAACGAAACAAACATATGATTTAGGGAGTTGTTATGGAGGGGTGTTAAATTTCGGTTCTTTTTTTTTATATATATTTATAAATTTATCATTATTTCTTGGGGGTTATTTGGAAATTTAATCAACATAATGGATAAGAATTTCAAAATTTGTGTCGTAGGGGACTTGCGTAAGTTTTTCATTCTTTTGTACTTTTTTTATCAAATATCACAAGTAGTTAGTTTTACACTAAATAACATTTCATTTTCAATTATTCAAGCTCATAGATAACTGAATTGTCAAAGTAATTGAAATCAACAAATAAATTTATATGGGCAAGTCAATATTTTATACTGAAGAACAGAGATGGGCAAATGATACTTTGAGAACTTAGTACCACATATTTTACTCAAATACTAACATTTTTTTGAGTACCAAAGAATTCAGTCACTACTTTAGTTGATGTCAAACGAATAACTGAAGTAGCGATTGAATTCCTAATAGTGATTCAATTTGAGTATAATACTTGGTAATCGGTACTCAGCAGCCCATCTCTGCTGAAGAATATGATGAGTATTAAGGAATGATTTGCTGTCATATACTACATTAAATTTGGCATTACCAAAATGAAAAGTCTAAACTTGATTGCATTTCTGTGGAGGTACTGTTTTCCTATTTAAATATCATAGGACAAGTTTCTAAGCTCAGCACTGAGTTTAGGAATTTGCCCATCCTGTAGTTTAGTTTAGTTAAACATCTATTTTCGAATGTTCTTTATAAATTGATAGTTAAAATTAGATTTTTTTTTCAAATTAAGGTCATTGAGTATGTATTTCATGGTGTTTGATCTTTTAGCTGTTGAATTCTAAAACTTTGCATTTTTTATCAAATTTAATTTTGAAAGGAAACTTTGTTCTCACTACTACTGTAGCTATTCATAATGTCAAGTGTTTTATATCTGTTAAATATTTCACTTACATTTGTAGAATATATGAAAATGTTACATAACTAATAGTGTAATTATTAGATTAATCAATGAATAACATTATCAAAATCAACCAGTCAGACATTATTGTTTATCATTATGGTATCTACTATACTTTACTGATTATGTAACTATATGCATTAAATAGTGGCTATATACCTAAGAAATTATTCTTGATAATTTGATAATAAAAAAAAAAAATTGATTTTTTCCAAAAAAAAAAGAGATACATTACCTTAATTTATAAAACTCGGAGATAAATTGAATGATCCACTGTCCTTTGAAATGTATATATATTTTTTAAAGTTTTGTCTCACTTTTTGATTTCAATATCTTGATTTTGATCATTTACACACTTCCTTGTACTAATTTTGAAATAAATTTTACCAATATATTTTATCAACCAATATCTGTAATTATCATAAATAACGATTCAATTTATAATATAATTGAAGTATCATAATATACTACTTTACATGAAATCCTATCCGCAGTCAACGATCAAAATAGTGCAATTAGTGACATTATTAAACTTTCTGTGGGTCATGCAGCATTCTTTTGTGTTTGGATTTAAGGGAAGTGAGTTTCAAAATATGAAATAAATAATTTATTGCTTTGTTTGGGATAAAAACGTAGAGCAAACTATATAAAATCATTCCAACAATTAAAAATTTCTTTTTTTTTAGGGGAAGAACTCCCCTGCTAATGACCTAAATTGTAATAACTCGACAATGTCAAGAACTAAACTCGAAAAAACTGGTTCTAATAATTCTGACTTATCTCCTAAAAAAAAAAAGATTAGAAATGTTTTCCTGAACAGTCAAACAATAATATAATTGGGATATAATTTTTTTTTTTTGCCAAAAAAAAATAATACCGCAGCCTATTTTTTGTCGCCTTAAAGTGTGTCAAAAGAGGTGTAAACGTATAACAGCCTTTACTACTACCTTTAACTTGTGAAGAATATTAGGATCAATCAACCCACAGAGCTTGGGGTCAATGATATGATATGGTCCCTTCCAAAGTGAAAATACCGCAATCTGGCCAAATTATCACATCCACATATAGTGTGATAAGCGATCTCATCCTCCAGGCCACATAGCCTGCTGGTGGAGGTCTCACTTAAGTTCAAATTAAAAAGGTGAGTCGATAGTGAACAGTATAAAATAGAGGATTAATGAGGAGAAGAGAGGCTGCCAGAAGACACTACAGACGTACTCGACTGCCATTATACCACATTTAAATTCCTACAAAACCTCACACAGATGTCCCTACGCCGCTCCAAAGCCCAATACTTTGATAGTGTTTCATCCCAAGAATTGCAATTGGTAACTTCTAAAAAGGTGACTGCAGAAAGTATAGCAAACACCTCTGCTTGAAATACTGTAGCACGTTTACCTAGTGGTATGCTTAGTTCTATATTTAGGTTCTCTATATAGACTCCTGCACCCATTAAACTAGTAGAGTCTTTCCTTGAACCATCAGTAAAACAGGACAGGTAGTCCTTTTGAGTCTCTACAGAACCCTGTGCCCAATCTATTATGTTAGGGTACAGGTAGCTAACCTTACTATCTAGAGTAAGGTTTTTGTCAAGCGGCGGAGAGAGATACGGTAAGATAGGCAACTCTTTTTCCACCTTCCTGGCTATTTCTAACTGGCCGGAGCGTGTCCCTGTTAATTTCCACTGTCTATTATCATTCATTCTTAAAAATGCCATTGCTGCCTCACCCATATCCATAGATGTATAGTGGAGTCAATGACAATAAGATTTCCAGAGCCTTTGTAGGTGTAGTGCGGAATGCCCCAGTAATGCTAATGCAGGCCATTCTTTGAATTCAATATAGCATTCGCATATGAGTGACCTTATTTAGGGCTACCCACCACATCACACTCCCGTATTGTATTCTTGGTCTAATTATTGCCGTATATATCCAATGCATGACTTTATGGTTAAAGCCCTAAGTTATACCTACAGCACCTCTTACTTGCCAAAAGGCTATTATTGTTTTCCTTTTAACTTCTGTCGAATGTGGTCCCTAGTTTAGTTTTGAATCTATGGTAATACCAAGGTATTTGACATTCTGTCTTAGTTGAAGTTGCTTACCAAAGAAGCTTGGAGCCTTGAAGGCATCCAGTTTGCGTTTCTTGATAAAGAGAATCAACTCAGTCTTTAGTGGGTTGACTGATAAGTTCATATCAGTACACCATGACTGAACGATGTTGCAAGCGACTTGCATTCATTCAAAGATGGTACTCATGAACTTTCCTGTGATGAGGATCGCTCCATCATCCGCGAACGCCTGGGCATAGATCAAAGCTTCCTCCAGTCTATTTAATAAGTCATTCATTACCAGGCACCACAGCAGAGGTGAGATGCAGCTCCCCTGGGCACCCCTAGGGACAACTTGGAATGAGTTTGTTTCCTACTCTGCTCCCAATAGAGCTTCTTAGTATGCCTTTGGGTATAACTGAGGCTAATCCCATATATGGGCTGGTGCTACCGGAGCTTGTGTAGAGCCCTTTTAAGCCAGGGTCCGTCGGCTCTCTCATTGCTTAGAATACCTTAGCGCCCAGGCACCCATTCAAACATCACCTTGTTGGTCCTATAGAGAATGTTCAAATTACCTTTTTACTTATCTACCAACTTGGAACACTTTGTGTAACTATTCAGGGCACCAATCCCTGCTTGACTATCCACAAAATTGAAATAAATATATCCATAACTCCCTCTCTTACTATGGATTGAGTGCAAAAGTCGATTGCTAGACACTTGGCCTGAAAGGCAGAAGTATATCTACCTATAGATTAGAATATTCCCACATTAGATTTATCTCTTCTCCAAATGTCAGCCCCTGATCCTTGCTTCATCCAGGACCAATCGCTATAACAGTTAACTCCATTACATGATCTGTGAGAGTTTGTCCTGCCTGTTATTACACTATAGTGTATGTCTCTGTATTTATTAACTTGAAGGTCTGATTTCATCGTGAGCACTATGTCACTATCAACCTTATCAACCAAAAACCATGATCTCCTGTCCCTGAGATGTCAGGAATTTCAATCTTGTTCTCAATTTATTCATTCTATAGGCAGTTTGGGATTATGATAATATTGAGCAACACAATTGTCGATTTTAAATGTGTTACTGATTTTAAAACAATAATTTTTATTTGATTTTGTGATATAGAATCTTATAGTTCCCACGTACTAAATATTTTTTGGCTACTGGGTATTTTTTAAAAACTGTATGGAAGAACAGATTATGTACTTGATGTTAAAACATTTTTCCATATGTGGAAAAGTTAAATGATAGGCAACATTTGATTATTGATAACTTACCGATGAAAATCTTCTTCATCTTTCTGATTTTTGTACTTGAGACCCCGAGACATTTCTGTGTCTCTCACCACTACACTGAGTTAAGACGGCTCTTTCCCTCAATCTGAAGACAATATTTCCTTGGCACTTTCCTCTATCAAATCGTCAGCAACCATTGTCCTTCTTATTCCTACAACCTTCTCCTCTTCAAGTCTTCAGACCATTCCCTTACCACAAGATTTAGACCTTCTGATCTATACATCCTTTCTCACAAATCTGCCTCTTTCCAAAACTCTTTTGTTGCCCGCTCTGTCAATTTCTGGAATTCCTTCCTTATCAAAATTCAGCATTCCCCTCCTTATTCAATTCCTGTCCCAATAACAGTCAGATTCCTGTTGACCTTTTGACAATAATGTAGAAAGATATATTTCATGTAATCTATTATCAAAGGATAGTGCTGTTCTTTGCTATGGACATTACAAGAATTTCCTACTCTCGATGCCACTCAATACATCTATTGTTTTTTATTACATTTTTTTTTATATATACAATTAAATTATTATTTATAATTGTGTTAAGAAATGATCTCGCTCTCCACATATTGTATTTGTATATTATTTAAATGTATTTACATAGTTTTTAGCATTTACATACTTGTACATTTTATATGGACAGATCCAGCCATATTTTATATGGCTCTCTTTTTGATTAGTGGAAATCAGAGCTTGTTGATAAGAAGAATTTAATTTATTTTTTCCTTAGAAGTGTATATTTATACTGTTTTATTACCATTGTACTTTTAAGTTTTTTGTTCAGAGTTCTATTCATTTTGTATATAGCATGCTCACTTAATGTTTTCTTTACATTTTCCTTTTTATTTTTTTTTCATTGTTTTATACCTTAGTTCAGAAGTAATCTCTTATTTTTTTACAATGCTGTTATTCTCAAGGGACTTTGTCCCACAATAAAGTCATTTTCTATCTATCTATCTAAATATTTATCCATAATCCACCAATTTTAGTTTTTTCTATTTGTGCTAATGATTTCCAGCATTTATAGGAATCTTTTGATCCTATCACATACAATATCACAGATTATATCTTCCTCCCTTTGTACTCAAATTTTGATTGTAAGAACACATCTCTATTATACATTGATATTATCATTTGAAATCATGATCTTAGTTAAGATTAATATTTTTATTTTGTTTTAGGGGTGGGTAAATCGTGTTTAGTAAATCGGTTTTTCAAAAAATCTTTTTCCCACGACTACATCTGCACCAGGGGTAAGTCATTCGCCAGAAATTATTGATCTTTTATTTATTTATAATATAACAAATTTATTTATAAATATATTGGTTAGTCAAGTAAAAGTAATAAGGAAACCTCCTTCAAACAAAGCCCACCTTGTTTTATTAGAATATCAACTGCCAATCGGATATTGTGGGTGGATGTCACTTGAGGTTTAGACATCACCTTCTTAAGTTTTTTAACTAGAAATCCACTCCTATTTGGACTTTCTTTTTTATGTAAAGCTTATTATCTTTCAATGAGTTGAATACTGTCAATTACAGGTACATTTACCATACTAATAATATTTCTGTTCCTATTTGGGAGCCAAACGTTGTATAATTTAAAAATGATTAATTTATTATTTTTTTATAATTGAATATTTAAAATTTAAAAGCTGAGAGCTTAAAAGTTTGGTCAGTATAAATATTTTGGGCTCTAATAAACGACATTGGTACATATAATCATAAATTTTAAATTAAAAATAAAATACATACATTTATTCCATGATTAATTTAATAAATAAAATAAAATACTATTTATTGGTTTTCTTAATAAATTATTGGTAGTCATTTTCTTATAAATTGCTGATTGATCATAAGTGACTTGTAGTGCATAATTCTTGTTCTGGGTAATTTTACTGAAAAAAGACTGTACTGACAAACCTTTTGGAGCCAACAAACTGTCTGGCCTCAGGCTGAGCAGGAATTGGCTGACCACCGAACACCAAGTGTGAGACTGACGGCCTGAGGCTGAGCGATGACTGGGCTTGGTAATGTTGGTTGCCCCATACTTCTTCTTTTAATGTATTACCATTTTATGGGAAATTCAAGAGCAATAAAATCACAACATTCGTTGAAAATCTTGAGTTCTATACCATATTATCTGGAGTCTTTCTTTCTATTAATTGATTTTCATTTATTTATTTTTACTTGGAATTTCTTCTGTTTAATTTACATATTTTATTTTATTTTAATTGATACCATATTTTATTTATTTTATGGTATCTGTTCCTGCCTCATATATCCTATCCTATACCAATTGTTCTCTTCTAAATCCTAAATCATGTCTAGTGTCTTAATTGCCTGTCATGTTAAGTCCCAATTCCTTCCTCAAAGTAAGATTTGTCACTGGGACACCCATTGTTTTCCCCGACTATGTTGAGTTAGGGTGGCTCTTCTTTTTCCCGGGCCGGGGGGTGAGGGCGGGGAATTTAAAATCCCCTCCGCCACCGGGACGCGAACTCGTACTTTTTATACCATCTCAAATCTCTGTTATCCGGTTGCCAGGCAACTAGCGGTACTGTGCACACGCTTTAGCCTATTCGGCTACCCCGCCCCCTAATGTTAGGGTGGCTCTTCACTTCCTTTTGAAGACAATATTTCCTTCGCACATTCCTTTACCAAATAACCAATAATCCAACACATCCTACTCATACAATCTCCTACAATTCAAGTCATCTATCCACTACCTTTCCACAGATCTGCCTCATTTAATTAAACATTCCTATGTTGTCCGCTCTAAAATTTTAGAATTCCATCTCTCTTTAAATCCCCATGCACCATCCTTATTCACATTTAAAACCCTCTTGTTCCAATTCCTATTCACAATTCATTCAGAAAGATCATATATATATACATATATATATGATCATATACCTCAATATCCGGAGCGATCTAGGATTAGAGTACTAACACATGGAGAAGAAAGACCAATAAAGAACTGCTTACAGGAAATGGTCAATCAATATCCCATAATATGAAGACACGGAGGTTAAGATGGGCATGGTATGTAGCTTGTAACAATCCATCTGAAAGCCTCTACGTAACAATGAATACCTCAATAGAAGGTAAAAGACCAAGTGGAAAGCCAAAAGCAGATGGATACCTAAAATTAACAATGATGCAACAGAGCTGCGTGCAGATAAATGGAAAGAAATAGCCCAAGACAGGCAGAGATAGAGCTGGCTTTTTAATGCTGCAAAAGATCTACTTGGTCTGTAATGCCAACAGAAAAAAAAATATATACATATATATATTTTTGTATATATTTTTATATTATATATATATATATATATATATATATATATATAAAAAATTTTCACTGCAATGGTTTGCCTATAAAATTGATTTAATGTTCCTTCCAAATTTCATTTAGTTATTTTTATGTTATTGTTTTAGTACCAATATTGCAGTATTATAACCTTATTGCCCATCTGATTTAATTAATATATCTTCAGAGATATATATATACTTGTTTTATTACTTATATTTTAGCTATTCTTTATTGTAATAGGTCTTTTGGCCAGATTTATTGTTAATTTGTATGAACAATATTGTTATTCTTAAGGGACTTTGTTCCAAACTAAAGATAATTTTCTATTTCTATATACTTTTTATAAATTTTAATTTTTTGTTATGAAATTTTTTGAAATAATGTTTTAACATATTCTTTTTAATTTAGGCATGGTCTTATCCTCCAAAACGGTGATCATATCAGGGGTAAAAACTGAATTAAACATATGGGATGTATCAGGAGAAGAACTGTTCCAAACAAATAATTCTGAAAATTATAAAAACGCTGTGGGAGTTTTACTAGTTTATGACATCACGAAATTAAAATCATATGAAAATATATTAAAATGGTATAGTGATGTTTCAATTCAAGCCAATCCTTCTGCAGTTTTTATTCTAGTAGGAAATAAAAGGTATGACCATAAATTGTAATTGTTAATAGTATTTTCATTTTAAATGAAATAAGTGTTTTGGTCAAATTTTTAGTTTTATTTATGTTTAGGATTGAAGGCTGTGAGGCTTCCAACTCATTTCACTCTTCATTTATTTACTGAAATTTAATTTAAAGAATTGCTTTCCATCTTTAGACTTCTTTGTATATTTTTTATTTATGATAAGTAATAGCTATAATCCTATGTGAGTGAAAATTAGCAAATATATAATTAGAAAAAAAAAATTTTTTTTCCTACGCCTAAGTAACGCCTGCTTCATCAACTATGCGTGCTCTTGCAGTCCAATATAATTTTGCTCTCCTAGCATAAGGGCTGTCCATTTCATTAAAGGAACATCTTAAGTCCTGTAATGCAGGGCGTATATCAAGATGTTCTCCTGTCATTATATCTAAGGAACATAGAGGGCATGTCGGGCTATCTTTTATACCGATGCGGTTGAGGTGCTTTTGAAGGAAATCATGGCCTGTGAGCATTCTAAAGCATGCCACGGCTTGCCCTCTAGGGAGGTCTCTAGGGATCCTGCCACTTTCTTCGAACAATCCACTCCATCGTTTCCCTTCAATTGTTTGCTCATATTTCTCCTTCAATGAACTTTGGAGGGTCTGTTTTATAATTCTTTTCATTGAATATATGCCCAGAGGAATATCTAGTTGGGTCATTTCAGAACCTATTCTGACCAGTTTGTCAGTTTCATCATTTTCGTGGAGCCTGCAATGGCCTGGTATCCACTGGAAAGCGACTTCTGTCCCATTTTCCTTTAATCGGTTCAAATATAGATGGCATTTAAGGACATTTGGATTCATATGATATCCATTTTGGAGAGACAAAATGGCTGCCTGTGAGTCAACAAAGGAAGCAACTTTCTTCTCTTTCCGTTCAATTAATCTCTCAAGGCCTAAGAGAATGGCTTTCACTTCCCCTTCAAAGTTTGTGGCTACCTTTCCGACGGGGGCGGCAAGTTGAAACTCCTATGAGTAAACCCCAGCTCCGGCATGTTTGCGTGCTTTCAGTGCAGAACCATCAGTGTATACATGGAGCCATTCTGTCTCTGGGAATCATAGAAAAATAGTTATGACATATTAAGCCCATTCTGCAAATATGTTTCTTAAACAACGCTTTTGAAAAAATATACGTAATTTTAAATTAAAATATCTAAAACCTCCAGCACGTTTTTATTTAAATCATCATATTCTATATTTTCACCTACTTCAACTTGATTGCCCAGTTGGTTGTCCATAGTTATTAAGCATGGCAACATGGTTCCCCCCAGTCTCTCAAATTTGATCACCTAATGTAAAAGGGAGCTTTATATAGTCATCTATATACAATTTGTTTATTATTATCTTTTTTTAATTTGTGGGAATTTATTATAAGTTTATAAAAAGTTTAATTTTAGAACACTTTTCCCCATCTTCAGAACTATAGGTTTTTTTGCTAAAAGATGATTTAAATTATCTTATTGTCATTATATCATTAAGATAATGTCACTATAATATATTTAGTATTCTTGATAGTATGCCTTTTGTCATTTTGTAAGATAGGAAAGAGAAAAAAATGTTCGACATATGTCCCGACGTTTATTCCAATGGACCTTTGGAACCTAGAAAAAGATTATTTTATATAATTTAAAAAAAAAAATGCATGTTATTTTTGTTGTCCTTACCTGCCTAGATTTCTGTTAATTTTGTCTTCCTCATTACTAAAGGCAGGGAAGCTTTGTTTGTATTTGTGCGAAAGATCAAAAAAAATTTTTCCTCAGAATCAATAATTTCCAGTCGCGTTTTAGGTTGCAGACATCAAGGATCAACTTTTTTTCGCTGTCTGCCTGTCTATTGTCAAATTAATGTAATGGGCATATCACCTACTATCATTTATCCAATTTTCATAAGTTTTCTTATTGTACGGTTTGGTGCCTATATGGTCTCTTATAAATTTTATCAAATTCTATCTTGTACTTTGCTTTCATACGTGTAAATGTATTTTTTTAGATATGCCAATATTTCAGAAATGACTCACTCGATTTGGCTCAAAATTGGAAGAAAGATAGGTATTGGTAAAAAAAATTATGCAACAATTTTATAGAATTCTGTCCACTTCTTTCTCTTAAATATGCTCAAAAGTGTTTTCCTAGATATGTTTATATCTCTAAAATCGTAGATTTGATTTGGCTCAAATTTGGAATAAGGAAGTTAAGGATTTTTAAACAGATGATAAATTTCATCAATTAATAATAGATAATCAATTGATAATAGATAATGCGAGTCACCTGTAAAAAAAAAACTAATTAATCTGTCTAAAGGTCATCGAATAAGAATAACAAATAAAAATGTATCTATTATTCGTTATCTAGATAAAATTTTGAATTACGCCCAACACTGATTCCATTTAATAACTAAAATGAATATAAATGATAACTGTGAAGAATATAATGGCTGTGAAATGTGATAGACATTGTTTTATCATACCCCTATGAAATGGAAGGTTAGGTTAATTTAATTTTTTTATCAGGTTATAAAATTTTATCCTGAATTCAAAAAGTTAATTACAACTGTATTCTTTTGTCGATTCCATGTTACTGGCAAGACACTCACTAACATTACTTAGATTTCATATAATTTTTAGTAAATTTACACTAGTTGTAAACAAAAAAATGTCGTAGTTGTGTTTTTTTATTTTATTTTTTTAAGTTCAACCAGCTCCTCATGGTTTGATTTTCTCCTAAAACATCAATGATGTGTATTCATTCCCTCATATTTTCAATTTTTCCAATGAATGTTTTGTTTCATCCATATTATGAGTGAAAATGTATCAATTAATTATTGGGTTGGTAAAGAAGTCCTTTTGGTTTTTCAGCGTGAAATAAAATTCAATGTATTATAGACATAAAATTTATTTTAATCTACAATATATTGACTATTATTTAATATTAATATTTCTCATCTTTCTACTAATTGCATAATGCCATGTTCATAGAATGTCTGAAGTTTATTTTAAAAAATTGATCCAAGTGGTTTTTGATCTCCTCTTCCTTTTGAAATTTCTTTCCATTCATGGAGTTCTGCAGAGATCGGAATAACTGTTAGTCACTTGAAGCTAGGGAGGGTGGGGTAAAAGGTCCCACCCAAGACTCAATAATTCATTGTGAGTGACCAATGGAATGTGGGGCCTAGCCTTGTCATGGTGGATCACAACACCATGCCGATTTGTTAGTTCTGGACGTTTCTTTTTAATTTATTGATCTAATTTTGTTAATTGTGAGTAGTATAGAGTTGAAGCAATTGTTTGTTCTGATGGTAACAGCTCATAGAAAATAACACCTTTGAAATCCCACCATATGGAAAGCATTATCTTCTTTGGATGCTATCTGGGTTTTGACATTTTTCTAGGAGTCTCACTAATAGGTCCCCAAGATTTTCTATGGACTGCATTATCATAAAATATTCATTTTTCATCTCCTGTTACCAACCTTTTCAAAAATGGGTCGTTTTATTGCCTTTTCCATAGTGAATCACAAATATAAATGCGTGTTGCCAAGTTGACTTCGGTTAGAGAGTTAGGGATTCAAATATTAAGCCTGGAAACATAGCCGAGCTTGTGTAAATGGTTTTCTATGCTTGCGTGCGCGACACATTTATGACCATAGCAATCTCTCGCACTGATCGGGTGGGATTTTGATTAACAATGGCCTTAAGATTACTCATTTTAATTTCATGTGGGCGACCAGAACGTTGAGCATCATTGATGTCAAAATTTCCTGAATCAAATTTGGTTAACCAATTTTGACAGGTGCGTTCGGTTAAAGGATCATCCCCATAAACACTGCAAATTTTTCTACGAGCTTCTGCGACACGCTTATCTTTTTTAAAATAATACAACAAAATATGCCGATAATGGATGATATTTTTTTCCTTATTCACAGTGCAATAGTAAACACAATACTAAGCTAGTTTCAACAAGAGTTAACAGATATAGTTGTTGATATATTATAAACAGGATAAACATTCCACCTTAGGAATTATTTCATCAGATAAGAAATGTATCATAGTGACATAAAAATAAACAGAAAAACCGAAAGGACTTATTTGCCAACCCAATATATATGCATGTACAGTATGTGTTGGGATTTTTTAAAATCACAAATAGTCAAATAAGGAATTTGCAATTGTGGAACTCCTCCGCATTTTTGTATTCGATGATCAACAATACTCGCAGATATCAAACCTGCGAATGCTGAAGCATTGTGTATTTCTGAAAACGACTTCTTTTGGAGATTGTATTCTCAAATGAAAAATTATATACATTATAGATAATTATATATAAATGAAAATGGTGAGGAAGCTATACTGACCTTACTTGGTACACGTTTTTTGTGCACAATATGAACAACAATTTCCCATAGTATTAAATTTGTTGTATCATAAATTACAAAAACCAAAAGACAACTAAGTAATTTTTATATTAAAGCAAGTTCGATTTGGTTTTAGTGTTCTTTGAAAATCTTAAATATGTTTTTTTATAAATAAAAATTACAAATTTTACTATTTGATTCTTAGAGAATTTTTTTTTTTTCCTGTCCATTAACCTAAGTATTTGAGAAGTCACATGATTCGTTTGGTATAGTGAACATGCTCTCTTAAAGTTTCAATGTTTTTATGTATTAAACTGTATTTGTTATTCATAATGATGTAGAGATGGTTGACCGTTGATATAATATGAGAAGGAGTTAGTCGGGGGTGTGGTCAGATAAATACTAAATTAAAATATAGTAATTATTTTAATTTAATTTTGCCGACGTTTCGACCCATTTTGCAGGTCGTTTTCAGGGCGAGGATGTAGCACTGCGGAGGCAGTTGAAACACTGGTTCGAGTGTTTCAAATGCCTCCCGCAGTGCTACATCTTCCGCCCTGAAAACGACCTGCAAATGGGTCGAAACGTCGGCAAAATTAAAATAAAATAATTACTATATTTTAATTTAGTATTTATCTGACCGCACCCCCGAAAAACTCCTTCTCATTGTATTTGTTATTAGTGAAAATTGGCATAT